GGCTGTCTGACAGTGGCTGTAGTGTGACAGTGGGCAGGCTGACAATGGCTGTAGTCTGAGAATCAGAGGGGTAGCCCTGTTAGTCTGTATCCGCAAAAAGAACAAGGAGTCCTTGTGGCACTTTAAAGACTAACAGATTTATTTGGGCATAAGCTTTCATGGGTAAAAAACCTCTTCTTCAGATGCATGGAATGAAAATACAGATACAGGCATACATATATATTGGCACATGAAGAGAAGGGAGTTACCTTACAAGTGGAGAACTAATTGTGAAGGCCAATTTAGTCAGGGTGGATGTGGTCCACTCCCAATAATTGACGAGGAGATGTCAATACCAAGAGAGGGGAAATTGCTTTTGTAGTGAGCCAGCCACTCCCAGTCCCTATTCAGGACCAGTCCACACAAGAGATCCACTTCCTGAACACTACAGTGCAAATAAGCGATGGTCACATAAACACCACCCTATACCGGAAACCTACTGACCACTTGTGATGAAGTGGGAATGTTTTCTCTGAGTGCTGTGTGGGTGCCTCAGTTTCCCCTTTGCCTTTCTCAAGTGTCTAGGGGTGTGTGATGGTTGCAGAGCCCTAGGGGGCCAGTGCGATGGTGTCTGCACAGAGAATGGCCGACGCCCTGTCTCCTGGCAACTGATGGCCTAGGCCCCTCCCCTGCAAGATGCCAGCTGAAGGTGTTGGAGAACAAAGAGATCAGGTGACCTCCTGGCCCGGGAAAGAGACAGAGGCGAGAGCAGGGGCCAGAGAGTTTCAGTTTGGAGCTGGCTGGGGAAATGGAGGGGAGACCAGACAGGGCTCTGGCCTCTCTGGCCCCCCAAGATGGACCTAACTGAGCGGGTCCTGTTGTCTGTACCTGCAAGACCTGTCTTGAACTATCTTCCTGTTGTCTAAATAAACCTGTTGCTTTACTGGCTGGCTGAGAGTCCCGGTGAATCGCAGGAAGCCGGGGGTGCGAGGTCCTGACTCCCCCACACTCCGTGACAACTGGTGGTAGAGGTGGGATCTACTGCACCCCGTGGATGGCGCTTCCTGCCGTAAGTGACTGGGGAGCAGTAAAACGAAGGGGGATTGACGAGGACCAGGTGTGCTGAAGGCTCAGAGAGGGGCGGTTTCAGGGGGCGGAGGAACTACGCTTAACCTCTGGGAGTGTGTGACCAGCGAGAAGGACTGTTGGAGTAACGGGGTCCCCCTGGGGATTGCAGAGAACGGTCCCAGGGGCGGAGGAGTCTGAAGCTCGACCCTGGCAGAGAGGTGGTGACCACGAGAAGGGCTGGCACACTAGGGGTTCTTCCTGGAAACCATGGGGGACCTAAGAGCACACAGGCCTCTGAGTCCAAAGCACCTGGGGAACAGCGGAGTGATGGCCTATCACCATCTCCTCAAGAAGGACATTGTGATCCTGTGCAAAGAGAGGGTTACGCATTGGGAAGTTCACCAAGGCCCAGTTAATCGGGCAGCTGGAGGACGAGGACCGCTCTAAGGAGCAGATTCCTGACCCAGACGGGGCTACAAGAGGATCTGGGAGCAGCTGGAGCAGTAGCCAGGCATCCCCAAGAGTCCTGTCCCCAGCTGGACGGGGGTCTTCACGATCGGGTTCCCCATCGGGATCGGAGACAGATGGGACTGGAGCTGAGTCCGAGAGAGCGAGAGGACCGTGAGAGAGAGCAAGAGCCCGAGGAAAAGCTGCAGGAGAAGCAGCGGCAGCATGGACTGGCGCTGGTGGAGCGGAGAGGCATAGGGGGCTTCCCAGGGGTGAGTGGGGATAGACCCCGGGCTGCCAGTTCCGCAGGGAGCTCGACACTAAATTGCTGCTCCTGGTTAAGGAGGGAGGGGGGAGGTGGATGCCCACCACACGGCAAGGCTGGCGATTTGAACCAGGGGGACCCTGCGGAAAAGCCCCGGTGTCTAGCTCCCTTGCTGGGTCCCAAGGCCAGAGACGCTGTCAGCCAGATGGGTGGGTGGTGGACAGGCTCCCACGCCTGGCCCCGGCCTATATGTCTGCATGGAGTCTCCTGGGCTCAGGCCCCTCGGACCCCCAGTGGGAGTGGAAGGTGATGGTCAATGGGGAGACATGCCTGGGGTGGCGAGACCCTGGGACAGAGAGAACTGTTGTCAGGCCCCGGGTGGTGCAGGGGGGTGCTGTGTGACCTGGGTGAAGGTCACAGAGGGGCTGTGTGACCTGGGTGAAGGTCCCCGGGATGAAGGCCCTCGCCCTGCCTATGGCCCGGATCCCTGTGCAGACCCAGGAGGGGTCGGGCTGGCTGGTAGTTGGGGTTCTCCAGGATCTCGGCTGTGAGGTCCTGTTGGGGGGTGACTGTGTCTCTTTGGGACAAGATCCAGGCCCCGCTCCTGTAACGGCCGAGGATTTGAATTTGAATCCCGCTAACCAATTGGCTAAGAGGGAAATGGTCAGTGAAATGCAAATGACCTGGCTGGCAGGAGGGAGGGGCTGCTGGGCTCAGGATACCTGCCTACCTGTAACTGGACCCCTGGGGCTGAGTGGGAGGGAGAGATGCTCCCCGCCCCCCTGCACACCGGAGAGGGGGCTCACGCTGGCTCTGATGCTGTGACCAGAGCAGAGAGCTCGCTGCCTGCCCCCACTGGGACAAGGACTGTACTGGGGAAAGGATTGGGCCCAGGCTAGGAAAGAATCCAGTCTGTGAAACATGCTTATTGGAACACCTTTGAGGGTGATATATTACCTGTAACTAGATCCTCAGTGTATTAAGTTAGCCTTGCGTTTTTGATTTTATTTTACTTAGTAACTTACCTTGTTCTGTCTGTTATTACTTGAACCACTTAAATCCTACTTTTTATACTTAATAAAATCACTTTTGTTTATTAATAAATCCAGAGTAAGTGATTAATACCTGGAGGTGGAAAAAGGTCTGGTAGGTGGAAAAAGGTATTCAGGATTGCTAATTGCTGCTTGACACACTCACTAAGTAGCCTTGTTCCATTGCTATTCTCTTTCCCAGTCCAATGCTGCCCAACGGCTGGCCACCAGATTACCACATAACTTCCAATCCTTGCATTAAAGTCCCCCATGCTAACCAGTTTATCTGACACTGACATAGACATGATGTGCATATCATAGACACTGACATAGACATAAACAGCTGTGCATATCTCTCTATCAGTGTTATAGAGGGCGGACAATTTACTAGTTTACCTGTGTAAGCAGAGTCAGGATGAGCTCTACCCTGACATCTGGTGGTGAATTATGGCGAGTGTGGAAAAGAACTCCAGGGGCTGATCTTGTTTGCATAGGCACACCCACCCGCCTGGCATGAAACAACAGCAACTCAAAGTGGTTACTTTGGCTGGTGTGGGATCCCCAATTTCTCTGTTATTGGGGCAGGAAGAATAAAGTTTTGTTACCCTGATTCTGTGAATCAAGGCCAGTGGAACTGTTGTATGACAGAAGGACTGAGTGAGTCCTTCACCATTACCTAAGTAGCACTTGCTTGACAAGGGGCATGGGTTACAAAACCCAGTGACTGGAGAGAGGATGGGGACAGGTATTTGTACCTGTTGGTGTGGGCTTGTTTTCAGAGCTTGAAACACCAATTGCATCTCTTTCTCTCTCCACCATTGAATGTCAGAGCTAACTTTGATTCCATCAGGAGTCTAGTTACAGGCTGCTGAGCTGAATTCACTTGGGCTAATGGTGCACTAGCACTGGGGCTCCCCTACTACTTGCTGAAATCACAAAAGAGCTAAAGTTACTAAGAGCTGAGATCACTGAGGCTGTGTTAACTAGTGGGGGAGCCTGAAGCTATATTGCTAAGCGGCTGGTGGAGCAGCTAGCCGAGTGGACCCTTGCGGGGACGAGCGGAGCTGAGCGGCTGGAGGAGCAGCTAGCAGAGCGGAGCGGAGCCTTGTGGGAGCGGCCCAAGGGACGGCTGAAGTGGAGCAGGGCTGAGCGGCTCACAGGTTGGTGAGCAGAGCGGAGCAGCTGCCAGAGCAGTTCATGGACGGCGGGAGCAGCTCACGGGACAGCTGGTGGAGTGGAGCGGCTCGTGGTGAAAGCTGTGGCGGAACCCCACGGAGAAGCAGCTGGTCGGCCTCAGATCACGTAAGGTGCCCCTTAACACCCTGCGTGCCCCCCCCCTTGAACTCTGGGGCTGCACTGACCAGGGACAGAGACTTTGGGGGGTTGTTGGACTCTTGGGACTTTGGTGATTCTTGAGTTGCTGGATCCAAGAGACTTTGGGGTTGTTGGACTTTTGGGACTTTGGTGATTCTTGGGTCGCTGGTTTCAAGAGCCAACGGGAAAGGACACGGCCCAATCTGCTGGGGTGGGTCGTCGCTCATGGTTTGGTCTATGAACTCTAGTTGTGGTGTTTTCCCAATTTAATGCTATGTCATTTACCTCATGTTATTAAACATTTTCTGCTACACCGAGGCTCTGTGCTTGCGACAGGGGAAGTATTGCCTCTTCGAGGCGCCCAGGGGTGTGTGTAAGATTTTCCCAGGTCACTGGGTGGGGGCTTGAGCTGGTTCTGTGTCACGCTGTTGGGAAGGGACCCCTATGTACTGAACCCAGCCCTTGCTGCTATCAACTGGCCTGGCAGAAGGGTTACACCTGTATAAAGCTTTATACAGAGTAAAATGGATTTATTTGGGGTTTAGGCTCCCAGAAGGTCTGTGCACAGAGTGCTGAGTAAAGTCCCTTTTAACTGTAGTCTGCCCAGAGCTGAGTGAATCTCAGTGTCTGTGTTCTGCAGGAGGGGTGTGACTCCTGCCTCTGGATCTGTGCTGGATGAGACTTGTAGGATCTGGCCCAGCTAGACAGAGTAAAGGGGTGCCCTTGCTGGTAGAAGGGTTAGGCTCAGTGGTATCTCAGCACATCTAGTGACAGTCTTGATGGAGTCTCTGTGACCCAACCCGTCACAACCCCATCTTTGTGTCACTCCCCTGGCTCCCTCTCCTCTCCCACGTCAAACCCCAGCTTCTGGACTTTGCTGGTAGGGCCCACCCCCTGCAGCAGTTACAGTATTTATCGCAGCACTGAGCCCTGCCTTCCTGCGATCCCGTACTGCCGGCTAGTCATTCATCCATAAGCATCTTCATACCTTCTCCTAAACTCCCACCATATCCTTCTTCAAATCCCTCCTTGAGATTTACCCCTGCCATGGTGCCCAATGAAGCAATGGCTGTAGGCTGACAGTGGCTGTCTGACAGTGGCTGGCCTGAGGAAGGCTGAGATGTAGGAGCTATGACATAGAGTTGTGAGCAGGTCTCAGCTAATGTAATTGGCATAGTGCCATTTATCTCTCTGGAGGCAGGCTGGGTTACGCCAGCTGAGGGTCTGGCTCATAGTGTTCATTTTACTGTCACCATCTCCTCTCCCCACCCTGCCCTGGTTGTCTGTTTCTTCCACCCACTTGTACCTTATCATAATCCTGGATTGCGAGCACCCTGGGGCAAGGGCTGTCTTCCCTGAGTACAGCTCCTAGCACCATGGGGACGCAATCCCTGTGTGGGGTCCCTAGGCACCAGTGCCATACAGTCAATAGGGAGGGAACCACCCACAACATGCACTGCCCATGGGAAAGGAGAGTTGCTTACCTTCCCTGGAAATTGCAGGTAAGAAACTCATCAGGCACAACTCTCTCACAAACTGAGTTCACGGCTTCTTCCCCACAGCAGGTGTATTTTCCATTCTCGTATTTTCCTTTGTGATTTAGGGTAATTTCAAATTCATACTCAATGTTGTTAGCATTTAATAGTGCTTTCTCAAGGGGATTCAGATCTGAGGCACAGGAGCCTGATTTCCCTTCTACTAACTTCCCTCTGCAGGCAACAGAGATACTGGCTTCGTGATAGGTGATATCTCGTATCCCCAGGAAGTGAGACACTTCATGGATAAGAGTCCCTGGCTGGGAATCTTTCCCAAGATCTGTAGAAGCCTTCCAGAACAGTGGGCACAAATATACCGTTTTGTCTCCAGACTTTGAATAAACATATGCATACGTATTTTTCTCTGTTAGATCCTCCTTAAACTTCACAGCTTCCAGCTCTGAGATGAGATCTCGAACTAACTTTTCTGTCAGTATCGCATGGCGTTTCATCCAGGATTTGGGATCTCCACTATCACCGGAAAACAGCTCCTGGGGCTTCTCCATCAGCACTCGGTCCTTCTTCTTCAGGGCATCTCTCAGAATCTCAATTGCTCTCTGCTTTGCTGTTTCTGCGATTTGTCTCTTTTCTTCAGGTAGGGATGTGTGGTTACTGGAAGAGTAACTTGCTTTAGAAGTAGAGCACATTCTTCCATGTGATGTCATGCTGCTGATGAATATTTCCTGGCAACTCATCTTTGCACCTATGTAGCATGTTCACTTCAGCCAAGAGTAATTCTCCAGGTGAGCTCTCTCTGTTAAAACACAAGATTTGGCTTTGATTACGTTGCCTTTCGAGGTAAAGTGTCTGACACATTTCAATTCACTCCAATGGGAACACAGGAAACACCCGACCAGATCAGACCAGGCATCCATCTAGCCCCCTCTTCTCTCTCTGAAACTGACTGGTACCAGCTGATTCAGGGGAAGGGGGAAAAAAACCCTCTAGTGGACATGTATGGAATAATTCACCCTTAGAGAGAATTTCCTCCTAACTCCAGATAGTTAGTGCCTGGGAGGCTTGTGCCCTGAGGGGGAGGGTTTAGATCCCTTCCAAACACTGGAGACTTGGTTTTGTGTTTTCATTCTCTCTCGTGTAACTGTGGAGGTGCTGCCTGTCTGTCTGAGTCTCCAATTCTCCTCTGAACCCCGCACATGACAACCTGTGGCCATGAACTCTACAGCGGAGTTATGTGTTATGTACATGGGTGTCCATGTGTCAGTTTTACCTTTTCTTCCCTCCGCTTCATCGCGTGTCCTGTTGCTCTTGCATTATGAGAGGGGGTAAAGAGAAGCCCTGAATGACCTGCTCTCTGCCATTCGTTAGTTTGTACATTTATCATTGTCTCTCTAAACTAAACAGCCCCTTCTCATTAATCTCTCCTCACGTAGCGGGTTTCCCAGACCCAAGTGATTTTGTTATTCATCTGAACCTCCTTTATCTCTGCTCTATCCTTGGTGAACAAAACTGGGGACAGAACTGAACTGAGGCCTGGTCTGCGCTCCAAAGGCAGGTTGACATCAGACAACTTGCACCAACCTCATTACACGTTTATCGACACTAATATTTGCCTCCACAGTTACATGAGGGTTCCCAGGCTTCCTAGACAATGAATGGGCTTCCCAAAACCCAGCACCCTGGGCGGGGAGCCACCGAGCTAGCCAACGGGAGATGCTGAGGAAAGGGGGGTGCTAAGCCCTGCTCCTCTCCTGGCGTTTGTCGCCCAAGTCCGGGCTGGAGGGAGGCGCCTCCCTCGGGGTGGGATTCACAGCTGGGAGCCGGGCCTGGGGTCAGGCACCTAAGCTGCGGTTTGCAAGAACAGCCGCCAGCAGCACTCGCCGTTACCCAGGAGTTCACGCACTCACCCAGCAGGGGGGAGAGTGGGGTTCAGTCCCCCCACCACCGCTCGATGGGGTGAAGGGATTTGACTCTGGATCTCCCCCCGCACAGGAGAGAGCTCTCACCCCTGGGCCACGGGACAGGCTGATGTGCGGCTCTCCTGCTCCACTGCAGATAAACATTTAAAGAGTCACTGAGCCGGTGACATGACGCTATAGCCGTGGGGGAGGGGCACTTACCTGGGAGGGTCAAGTTCACGTGCCCCTGCTCCAAGGAGTCGTTAATTACTTACGCCCAGTTGGAACAGCTTCCACAGGGGAGAGTGAGGGAGCCCCCGCATCAGAATCCCCCCAGCCCAGCGATTCGGGCACCCGCGTCCCATTGGGAATCTCACCCGAAAATGTTTCTCTGACAGTTTTGGTTAGATTTTTATTTTATATTAAATAATATCAAATACAAGTGAAAATGAAACGTCGTGTGTATCAGAC